AACATTTGTTTCATGCATGCTTTGTAATGTGCAAACTGAGTATGTCATTGTAGTTTTACAACAGGCTTTGCTTTAAAATAACTAGCGTATATTTTATTGGTATTCTTTGCACATTTAAATAATTGAAGGTCCAATTATTTGTAGCCTCTAACACTGAAAAATCCTGGTGCCCTTACAGTTTCTGGTGGATGGCAGCCAACCAGTTTTCTGCATGACCCATTGTAGACGAGACAATGCCTTCCAGCACTTTTGTTGTCATGTGACTGACCTGGTTTATTCAGCATTAGATGTAATGGGATTTCCCCCGGTGCACCAGAATCACAGTGCAAAATGTCATCCAAGCTGTCCTGCATGCCCGTTGCATTAGCAGTACTCAGTTTGGTCTCTGCGTACTGTCTTATAAATAACTGTGGCGCATAAAATGAAAGTGCAGGTTCAGATAAGATCATACAGCGCCAGAGCCGCCACAAGCTGCAGAGGTCCATGTGACTCACAGCTGACGTTTCATCCGAACTGCGCTCAGATGCCAGCCCTCCACAAATAGGGTGAACTCAGTGGAAAAGGCAGCAGCGGGGCACGGTGCCAGCTGGGCCGTGWTGGTTACAACCTCACCCACATTCTTTGTGATACCGTCACCCCCCTGGAAATAACATTTTCCCAGACACGTGGCGCTCCTGGTTTTACAGCCGCTTCCTCGGCTGCCCAGGAAATCAACCTCTGTGTGAACAAATTGAAAATAGGAAATGATTGAAAAAGCTAGACCTCTTCAGATTCATGATTACCAGCTGATATGGGATCGTTTTCTTTGCTCCCGACCTCTAATGTACAATGTGCTAATTTTAAGGTCAAATATCCTGGCAGGAAATCCAGGTTTGAATGACCCATGTTTGCAGCAATATCTGCATTATCTCCTTTTAAATAACTTTTTGACCTGAGTGGGATTTTGACCTGAGTGGGATTTCACACAGAGCTTGACGTTATTTCTTTCTGTCACCAACACTCACTCTTTACGTCTGCTTATCTTTACTGTTGACGTGTGTGACACATATTTTTCTTTTGAAGTACCATTAAAGCATGTGCTTCGCCCAATCACACCTCTGTAGACATTTTGATTATCAGATGTTTCCTCTCACAAGTAAACAAGGTAATGTCCCCGAGTGGTGCTGGTAAAGTCTCAAGCAACCCACTCAGGCGTGAAMCAACTCAACACCTCCATACATGTCATGTTTTGCATTTAGGCGCACAGCTTTTAAAGGCGCAGCGGCACAAAGCGGAGGAGGAGCGGGCTCAGCTGTCCATGACGACACCAGTGCCTTTAGCTTCACAACCACTGTGTTAAAGTGTTGTGTGTAGCTGTTTGCTAAAAGTTCTTCATTGTGTTTATTTACTACTTGATGTTTTAAGCTCTAAAACCCCATCAGAAACCTTGTTCAACCACAAGGAGTATCAGTTTCACTCCTGAGATCTTGGTGGTATCAGGAATTTTTTTAAATATTTTTATTTTCCATCTTTGCAAGTTTTATGTAGAATATGTTCATTTAATGTAAATGTGCAGTCTTACAGGGTACATATTGTGAAAAATAACCATTTAATATATTTTATTAGTCATTTGGTTGTCAGTACACTAAGAAAAAAGATTTGATTAAAAAGTTAGAAAAGCACCATCATGTTTTGTTTTTTCTTTTTTGATGGTTAGGAGGATTGAGAATACTGCATATCTACTGCTTACTGAATAAGAATTCGGTAAGCAGTAGATATGCAAACATTGTGCTTTTGGTTTGATTCATTCTTTGGTTTTCTGTTTCAATAAATATAAAATGAATAGAGTGAAAACAATGGGGTTTTTTTGTTTTAAAACTAAATTAGAAAAACATTTGCAAAAACAAGAAATTCTACTTTTTTATTTTAATGGTTGACATAAAGACAAGAATTACATTTTGTTAAAGCCGTGTACCATTCAATCATTTAGTTTTTTCGTTTGAAACAAAAGAACAAAGAAAAAAAAAACATTTTTTCCCATTTCCCTTTAGTGCACAAAATGAAAAATCGGATAACAGCTTGAATCGGTGTATAATAATTCAATCCATGTATGGTCCGTTATTTGGTTTTTACGTATAAAAAAATGCGAAAAGAAAAATTGGGTGTTTTTTTTAAACTAAACTAGAAAAACGACAATTGCAAAATTTTAAAAAGCTATGTTTTTCTCTTATTATTTTAATGGTTGAAGCAAAGACAATGGGGTTCTCAAACATTTTGGGTCTGGGGACCCCTTGCAAGGGTGAAAAATTTCCAGGGACCCCCTCAAATACCCCATGCTGTTTAAAAATATTGTACCGTGATTTTAATCCCTAAATGTCATGGGAATATTATTTTTGGTTTGGTTTAATGTTTCTTTTACAAGTGCATTGTTCCCCATGTGTATCTTTTAAAATAAAAACCAAATTAACAATTTATTGACATTTTTGAGGACCACCAAGATATGGCTCATGGACCTCAGTTTGAGAACCTCTGTGTTAGTGCACCATTTGTTACTTTTTTACTGAACCGGAAACCCTGTCCTGAACTCCCGGTGCATTACATTTTCACTCTCACCATGGATATGTTTGTCTTATTTCAAGGGTGTCAGTGCATCTTATTGAGAACTGGTGATCTTATCATGAACAAAATCACTTTGATATTCTAAGTTCTGCAGAATAGGATTCAAGTGCAGCTTATGGTTTCTGTTTTRAAGCAGTCTTCCAGTCATTAGCTAAAGACTCTTCTTCTTAGCCGACTTCCATCATTTCTGGTATCACTTAAACAACCGTATGTTTTATTTCAGAGTCAGAAAACTAAATCAAAACTCAAACACTGTGGATTTAGCCAGAGTAAGACAGAATAAACTGAACCGACTWGGATACAGGAGGTGGGTAGTGATTTTACTGCTTCAGTAACCGTTGATGTTTTCAGTCTACGGTCTCAGTCCGCCCGTAACTTTTCCCCTTTGTAAATTTCGTAAGCTTCCCAAGTGAATGCGCCTAATTGTTTCATGAAGACAGAATACATTGTGCCAGCTTGGTTAGAGGACGTGGGTAGTGATTTTATTTTGAAACGGGAAATGAGAGAATGAAACGTACACGGATCTAAAATGACAACCGGATAGTTTAATTAGGATTTAAATAGCTGAAGCAAAAATCAAGGGCTGTGAATTTTTAATTAGTGTGATTTAACATTTAGATTAAAAAAAACAGAAAAACAGTTGTTTCTTTTTTGCATTTTTATTTTCAAACAGGCAAAGCAATGGTACGGGCTGGTATTAGATTTCAAGGTTTTCTCAGTATAAAACAGCAAATTCGCTTTTTTTTCTTTTTATCACGGCAATCCTATTTTTTCTTTTTTTTTCTTTGTATAGGATTGCTGAATTTTTATTTTTTATTTTTATTTTAAATTTCCATCATTTTTGATATCGCTTAAACAACCGTAAACCAGTTTAGGCAGTTTAAAGAGCCAGTTAAGGAGGCAGTTTTAGACTCTTTTATGAGCTAGACTCCGTGTGTAATGAAAAAATACTTTTTTGATTTGCTCTTTYGGTCAGTAAAATGATTTAAGTCAGTAAAGCTGACCCGATGATGTCAGCCTTACTTTTACTCTGTAGATAGGAATGTTTTTGGACAGAACAAGATCTGCTGCAAGTTGTTGCTGTTGCCTTTATCTTGACTCAGTACAGAGCCTGGAATACGTTCATTAAGATAACATTCGTATGTTTAACAGTATATATAAGTTGGCCAGAAACTTGTTATCATGTCTTGACAGACAGCTGTTCTAATTGTGTCAATTGCTGTGTTCCTGTAGTTGCAGTAAACATCTCAGAAGACCATTATTGAAGCAACTTGATTGTTCCTTGAGCCACGTATTCCTGTTACTTATTAAATAAATAATTTCTACAACACAGTGTATCACCACACCCCTCCTGAATCACCACATCTTAATAACTCTGAATACCCTTCCCCTGCAGTGTCTTTTCATTTAGGCTGTTCATTTGTTCACGGGGGAATCCCCTAAACCTTTATGCTTACTGAAAGAAAAAAAGGACTGGTTAGTTTTACATTTGATCTGGTAGCAGGTAACTCAATGAGTCATGGCTTCTCTACTAGAGGAGCAGCATCCGCCTCCTCTTTCTTTTAATTTTTTTTATAGTTTCACAGTTGAGTGAATCGGGATGTATTTGTCTATTGTATTTGTTTAATTACACATTTGATAAATACATTTTTTGAAATTTTTTTCAAGTTACATATTTTAAAAACAAATGTTTGCATCATCAGTCCTTGCCTTCCAGTTATATCACAAACATAGCCGTCTCTGTTGTGATGCTAGTTGGTTGTACGTTGGTGTTCTAATGTACTCATCGGTTGCAACATTGGGCCTCTGTGCTTTGTATCCTGGGTAATTGTAGGATTCTGCCACCAGAATTAATGCAAACCCACAATGTGAGCCCTGGAGTGACATATAAAGCATCTTCTTTGACTGATTCACTAATTATTTTGACTGACTGTCAAATGCTCTGACAACTGCCTGATAACACCTTCTGTTTACTCATGATGCCACCACGTCTGCCCTCTGGTGCTCAATTGTTGAAATCTCCATCACTGGTTTGCATTTGAGCCAAATGATACCCAGTATATATATATA